AATCAAGGCAATCTGGAGATGAAGAACAGTGGCGGACGGAAGGGGAACACTCTTTTTTCAAATATATTATATTTGGGAAGAGGAGCTTTTATTTGAAAAATGAAACGCAAACCTTTTATCTCAGCTATGTAAGAATCATCACAGAACAGAAAATTAAGTAGAAGTGCCCCTACACTCTCTCAAAAGGAGAGCCAGTGTCACCAAACTGACATATTCGCAAATTGAATTGTCTAAATACACACATAAAAACAGCTATATAATTGAGTAGAAAGTTGAAACACAACTTTAACAAATGTTGTAAAAATTGAGTCTTATAACAATGAGCGAAAGTTCTTATCATTTCACATGTCAAAATCAAAACGCGTCTATCGTGTAAAAATCTTAAATAAAACAATTAACAACGGGTTCAGCTACTCAATGCTAGATGGTGCCGTAATAAATTTGTTCTATTCAAAACGCTAACTACTTTGAAATAGATGTAGATGGGCGGTCTTATCCCGCAAACCGATTTCTTCCAGACCACCTTTAGATGGAAATATATAAAAGAAACTAGGTCATGGCTAGTGAAGACAATCAAATCAAATATTACATAAAGAAGATATGAATTAACTACCATAAAAAGTTTAACAACAAAAAAAATATCGAAGTCGGTTTATAAATAACGGAGATAATGGCGAACAAACAATTAAAAACATATACATATACCCTCCTTTTTGGAAGTCTGTTAAAAATCATTGGCAACATTATAAAATAATTAATATAAAATAAAAATGGTGATTAGTAACCCGCACCTACTACAGACGGATGCACGCTGCGGGTGGTTAAAACGTTGACGTTTCTATGACATCTTAGTTAAACATTTATTATTGATACACAAAAATCGTCCTAAATCAATTTTCTGAAAAATGATGATAAAAAATTATCCATACGAACCTAATTTACGAATGTGTCCCATTCCTAAACGAGTAGCGTCAAAGTTATTGGAATTTATCGTCTATAACGTCAGATAACGAACAAGAAATTTAAACTTAATTTAAATGAAGATAAGGCCGTTTATAGTTTGCATTGAAGTAATAAAATAATGAAATTAACAACAAGACATATTTTTTGCTTACGTTTTGCAGGTCAAACCCGCACATAAAGGCATAATTTCCAATATATTTTGTGTACCTAAGAGACAACCATGACAACGGAACGAACGAATCTGACAGCTAATAACCAAAATGTTGTTCATCTAACCATAACGATGGTCGCGCATATCTGAGCGGCACTTCCACTGTATTTTCTATCCCGTGAGAAAAATATTTGCAAAGTACGAGTATTTATTTTAAAACTGCAGGCACCGTAAACAAATACTTAAATTACAGATTGGGAGGTGTATAATGAGTAGTAGAAGAGGAAAATTATAATATCGGTTATAAGGAACAGTCTTTTTGTTTATTATTATTATGGATTATTTAATTGTTTAAGTAATTTAAAACTATTAAACTTAAGACTTTTTCAGCTCATGTATTGCTATAGTTTCGTAAACGACGCCCTTTTAAAATGGCGTGATCTTAGGTGACGGGATGAAGATAAGATGAAAGTGGAATAAACAAAATTAATAATGGTTAAAAGTCCTCTTACCCAAATTATTATATTTTCTTTAAGACTTACGTTACCTCAGACTTTCGTTGGAGTTTTCACAGCCTTGCTTACGATATGACTAATGCCTATGCCAAAATATTTTTTTTATCGTTCTAAAACGATTACGAGAAACATGTCTGTTAGAGGTCATTTTGGTCTTCATCAGCTTGAAAGCGTCTGAGACATCCCAGCCACACAACTCGAGTGCTAGAAGGCATTGCGATGCGCAGACCTGAAAATTATAGTACGGTCATGTTAGCGTGACATGGTAAATGGCTATAATGAGATATAAAAAACTTGCTTTCGCTTCTAAGTCGTATGTGCGTTAAGAAATACATAATAACACACCCAGACCCAAAACAATAATTTTTGTTTCACTCAAAGAACCCGCGAAATTGCAAGGGAGCCGGTCGCCCAATCACTACAAAAAATCTGGGAAGATGAAATTACCGAAGATGAAATTACCGGTTGCACAAGATATAAATATTTATATAAAAGGGATATTGCAATGTTAGTCACTTAATAACACCGCCCTTAAATCATGGCCTCATTACATATTATGCTTCCTTAGGCAGAAGTAAGGACAGCAGGCTAAAAAGCGTATCCTTTGTGGATGTCTCAGGATTTAGATAAGTTATTTTAAACTTATCAGTGATAGACTTTTATGAGGGGCTGAAAATTATAAAATTACTTTTCCAACCTTGTGTGGAGCGACAGAGGTGTCAGACTTTTACCCCGTTCCTTATCCTAATCCTCTGAACCGGGTTTTAGTGCATTATTGCACTCGCAACTGCGCGCGGCTGGATCAGTAATATGTTGTCTGGAGTTTATATGTAATTATATTTTACCCATTATAAGGCAAACGGCTATTTCTCCATTACTTGGGTATCAGTAACATCATATTGCCCATTGCGAGATTGTATTACGATAACGCGATCCAAACATTACCACGCTTACCCCACTGACTGGATACTTAACTTGAAGCAGGCCAATCAAAGCAACGAACGATTATAAATGAACCGATCGCTTTAACATGAACTCAACTTGCACTACCTCTTAGAAACCTTTACCCTCGAAGGAAACAGATTACAATCCTTAACTTATACAGATTATAATTATGAAAAAACCTATACTAACCTTATGTTCTAGCAGGTCGTAGAGGGTGCGAACTTTGGTGGCGTGGTTTTGATTATAAACTGAAATTATAAGCAATCAATTATCAGTTACACAAAACTAAATTAATTCGACGTTTAATTACAATAAAATACTGATATCTGAGTGTGTCAAAGGCCCGAGGTTGAAAACCATCTCAGCTACAAGATCTCTACTAATGCACACAGAGGCCTCCCCCAGTGACTGCCGCATAGGCCGGCCAAAGTGATCTGAACATTTTTATAAAGGTACCTACTTATAACTAATTCATCTCAATAAAAAAGCTACCTCCTAAAATGTTGTTTTGATCGTGGCAGTCCGCATCGGGCTCCTCGAAGTAAACCATAGAAAAGATCTCGTCTTCTTCCTCATCGGGTAGTTCATCAGGGTAGAGCTGGTAGCCCGAGGGTCCAGCTACAGCAGTATCCGAGGGGTTTTCTTTAGCTTTTGGGAGATGTTCATCTGCCCCAGGCAACCGAGGCTTCGGTTGCAACGGGCGTTCTGGTTTTTTCTCTGTCAAATGTGCATTGCGTGGTGGTAATGGAATTTCATTGACCTGCAGCAGAATGTAAATATGTAGTTAAAATATTTGCTATTAATTAGAAACGAGTAGGTAGGTACATCATTTCGGTATCGCTGAACATACGGTACTACAGAACCGGTAAAGTGATTTTTAAAATTTATAGGTGACAAAATGGCTGTGAAATTTATTTTTATTATCTCCCTTAGTGATACCACAGCCTTACAGAAAACTAGTGAGAATTATATAAACAACAAACAACAATTGTAACAACAACACGTTACAGGCCCGTACTTAACAATAATTAAATGATTACACAAATATAAGCTCCGAGAATCGATCTCGCAACATGTTGAAAAGCGACCGGCTGCAGAGCCACTGCGCTAACTGCGCAGTCCTCAAAGTGATAGACTACTTATTACAACTTAAAGTTAGTAACCTGTTCAGCAATTTGCAAGCAAATCTGTGTTATTTCCGCTGGCTTAGTTCCCGGGTGGCACTTAAGCATCAGCGCTGGAGTATCCTCCTTGTCAGCCTTGACAAATATCATCGGTCCTGAAATTATACAATAAAAAATTAAGCATCCTTGTGGTCAAAAATATTAATAAAAATGGCCTGATGGAATTAATGGAAATATAGGAACACCATTCACAGACGTACATTTGTTGCAAATATTTAGAGAAGAACTGAATATATATGTGTTTGCATAGGAAAACAAAGAGAGCATTCGAACGAGTGCACATATGTCCTAGAAATCATTTATACACTTACCCGGTTCTTTTGTTCCTTCCTCAACAATGTTAGGCTTGGATTTTTTTCCTTTAGACCCTTTTCCTTTGGGTGGCTTTGGCGGTGGGTCGAGATGAACACGCTCTAGGATGTCTTGAGCGGGCTTGGGGAAAAATGGACGATCCGGCTTCTCAGACTTTCGCCTCGGGGCGCGGGGCGGCAGTAGTGGCGCAAGATCGGATTGCTTTGATGGTTTAACACACAAAGGGACAAAAACATTACATTGAATCAAACTAAAACTTATACAAGGAGTAGTTAGACATCATTAAAATTTAAAACAGCCATCGAAACTGCTATACTTTGTGCAATTCAGCCATCAGTCAATATTTTTGTAAAGTGAAAAAAAAACGAAATCTTACCAATACAATCAATCAATTAAAATTTGAGTATTTTTAAATGATATCTTCATTATGTTGGTTAATTTTCTGGGAAGCTGGAAACCTGGGAACTCGTGGATGTGTACAAATTGAAGTATAATACATACTAATTACCTAAGAGAATTTTTCAGTTTCAGCTACGGCGCTCCAGACGGTCAATGTACAACAAACCCTAAATCCATGATTATAGAGCAAAACTACTTCATAGTAGTCCATAATGAACAAGAATTTTAGGTCGTTTTATTACATCAGTTACGTTACATTGCATATGATGGCAAAAATATATATTAGATATATTTTAAGTAGCTACAAAAAAAGCATTTTCTTTTGTGTCTGCAAATAAAAAGGGTTTGCAAGCTATCACAAATATGACGAAGAAAATTACTAAACCTATTATTTATCTCTTTACTAAATTATTTAACAACTTAATAAACTCAACTTGATTAAACCTGGAAGTAAAAAAATAATGATATAAACATCCAGCTGCTTACCAACCATGTTGACAAGAAAAAGGCCAAAATAAAAGAAAAGACAAATTTCTCTCGATTTACTTTTAATTAATTTAATATTTCCACGATTTCATATGTTGAAAACCCTTTAATGTTAAGTGGGTTATTTGAGGGAGACCATCATGGACACTGCTTTCACGATATCTCCATTTGTCTTCTGTAGTTGTTCGTGACACTTGTCGAAGGAGACATCGGTGCCGACTGACACCTTGACACGAACTAGTTTGATTGCATTGTGAACGTTCCAGCCGCTCAGTTCCAGTGCCTCCAAACACTGCTCCTGACTAGCCTAAGAGCAAGAACAGTTTATATTACACTCATTCCACATCGACTAACATGCCGAACATGTAAGGCAGAAGCTTACTACTTCGCATAACAGGGAAGGGACATATAATTTAACTACTAACATAAACTTTGGATTAAATAATAGGGGTCTTACATTCTTTAACAAATAATTTTGGTCAAATATAAAAAGATACAGTAAAATTAAAGTACTAAAAAGTTTTTTTTTTATTTATTATTATCGATGTACAATTTATTTACTTAATGAAAAATACATATATCTGTTTCGTGCCCAAATAATGGACGAACTTAAAACTTATAGATATTGTGTTTGTTCGTATTCAATGTATAAGCACCCTCAATAAGCGATTAAGGGCGCTTGGATATTTTTATTTCTAATTAATACGAAATTTATTGTTTCTACTTGAGTTATTGCAAAGAAGCTAGATTTATCTCGACATTTTTTTTTGAGAATGGTAAGATACAGGAAAATAATATAAACTAAAAATTCGATTAAACTTTGTATCTAATCAAAAATTCAGTTAACATTCAACGCATGCAATCACAAATTGAGAAGTAAAAAAAATCTATAGTATCAATCATTAAAATTAAAAATTAGTTGCAGTTAGTAATTAGGAGACACATGCATAACACGTACTGCTACACTAAAAAAATCTACTAACAAAAATAAAATACCAAAGTCATCTCAATCTAACCACTCTGAATCGTCGAAAACCGAAGTTTCGTTATAAAATTTGCAGACTTCCTACCATGGTCGAATTTATTACAAAGTTTCGTGCATCACAAAAAGTATAAGAAATCTGAAATTTACTAAACTTACTGTAAGTGCACTTAAATTAAAAAGGAAGAGAAATTGTCTGGTACAGAATCCAAACTATTATTATAAATGCGAAAATAACTCTGTCTGTGTGTCTTTTCTTCACGCCTTAACCTGAACCGATTTCTGTGAAATTTGGTACAGTCATAGTTTGAAGAAAGACAAGAATAGTTTTTATACTAAAAATCTGCAGGAAGCCACTATTCCACGCTAACGGAGTTGTGGAAAAAAGCTGGTTATCGATAAAAAAACATTTAGACGAAGTAAATGATTTCACTCGCCATGTTGCACTTAAATAATCATGCTGAAAAAAACATTTGTAGAAAAAAAGAGTTAAAATTTCTTGAAATACCCACTATCGTGATATTAGTATTTTTAAACTGACTGTACATTATACTATAGATATATTTTCTCAGAGTGGTCAGCCGGCTACATACCGGCTTCATATAGTTCCATACATCTAGTTTTGACTGAAACTGGCGTTTTATAGCTTATTTATAAAAATAAATTCATTGTTTTACGAAATTTATTTAAGGAACATTGTATATCTTAGTCGTCTGCAACTAAAAATGAAACGAAACTTCGCATTCGAGATTCGTAGTAGACCCTTACATAACGTCTAATAATTTAAAAGGTACGGTCAACCAGTTATTTGGTAGGCAAGCATAAAAATATAGATCGTTTCAGAGTACAGAGACAGAAACTATCGGTTAGCTACTGAGCTGACCAATAGTTACATAGAATGGTGAGAGGTTTTGAAAAATCTATTAATTCTTCAGTAATGTTGATAAAAAATCATTAGAAACATATTTTTTCATTTAGTCGCATAAAACAACAACACGAAATAGAATAAATTTTTTTGAAGTCGCTTCATCTGTGTCCAGAATAAAATGTAACGAGTCGTGACGTCACACAATACTTAAATCAATGTAAGAACTAGGAATACACTACAGAAAAAGAACGTGTCTAAAACAAATCGCATGTAAATTATATAACAATAGCTACTGTCTCTGTACAAGAACAAATCTTCATTTTATTACGTGCATACTAAATAACTTGGCAAATAGTACATACTACAACGACATACATCTACCTAAACGCCGATAATTCAAAACAATAAAGGCAATACATTTAGTATAGCAACTATCTTAATTTTTCACTTACGATTTAGATGACAATGAATATTATTAAGTTATATAACTAGATGGCGCTGTCTAGGTAAAAAGTTTTATTTTTATTTTAATCGTTACATTATTTGTCTTTGAAACAAAAAAAAATACCTTAAAATATTTAAATTGTATTGTTACTACAATGTCACCGTAAACATCAGTGTTTCCGTAATTCCATGTGATAATTTCGTCAATTGTATCCATAAGAAGTTCTTTAGAAAATTTGTCGGGATAGGTTTAGTATGGTATCATTATTTTGAATTAGTTGGAGTCCTGTTACTGCTGATGCAGTAAAATAAAATGTATTTATTATTGTAACACTGAAAAAAATCGCGTCTGCTACGTGCCTCCTTTTTTCATTATTTGCACAAACTCAAAAAGTCAAAACTATCCTATTTCAAAAAAATACTTTAAATTTTTTAAATGGAATATGTAGGTATTCACGTCCTTATTTTTTTCGTTAAAGTTTGACTAAACTGATTTGGTTTCTAAATTGTGGGAATGTTAGCAGAAGCATAATAGGAACATAGAATTGTCTACACCTATTAAAAATATTTTTATCCGAAAAGGGATCTAAAATGTGTCTAAAAATTTACGGATATCGCAATTTTCCCTTTAACTCTGCTATGAGTTTCTTAGAAACAAATTTTAAGAATCTGAGTTTTTGAAAGTTAAAGCTTATGTTGGCTTGGAAGTTTGATTTTAGCTACAAAGAACAGTGGACTCGAGAGGTTGATATAAAATGTAGCCTTAAAAAATAAACGCATTCCTAAGATAAACGGTCATGACGGACGAACGTAGGAAAAATTTAAAAAACCTGGTTAAGTTAAATATTATTTCGTAGTTTATTATTTACTATTGCGTTAAGACCTTCACTGTGTATGTTAACAGCTACTAGTTAGTTTTTATTTGGTATAAATATTAGAACAATATAAAATTTGTGTGTGTATTCTTATTATTTGCTTTTAAACTACCTACATGCAAAATTCTAGTACGCTAAATAGAAAACTTGGACTAAAGTGAGTATAAAGCGCCAACCGTGTGTTCTACAGATAATAAAATGTAAAAAATCAATTTTAACTAAATTGCAAAAAAACTCGATGAATATAAATTTTCATTTCGTAAGCACAAAGTCGCTAGCAGAAGCTAGTACATTTATTTTTTTATACGCCGAATTATTCGATATACATAGGTTTTTAGAAGACATTTTCAAAATATGAATTTCGCTTAGACAGATTTTTTTAACAAAATAAAGAAAAAAAAGTTTATTTTTTCTGTAGCGCAAGTTTTTGTAGAATCTCTAAAGCTTTTGGTCTAATAGTCAGAACAATGCTCATACGAAACAAAACAATTGAATTTTTCCGGGAATATTTGAACCCATGCGAAACGGGTGCGGGCTGCTGGAAATTTAGTATTTTATAACAGTTTTGTTTAAAAACGAATTTCATCTCAACAAACACTTTCTATTCAGGCTGCAATTCAAACACATAAAAATTTTGTTCACACATTTTTCTATATGAGGAAAAGATAATATTACCGTTATCGGTTTTCGATACATTAGCAATTTATCCATGTACGTGAGTATATATCACATAGCTGTTAATGTTAGTGAATAATTAGTATGTCATTCTATGACAGCAGTAATTAATAAAAGAAACATGCAAATTCAGTAAAGCGTATAATAATTACCTCGTCTTTGAGTACTTTGCTCATAATCCGAACTTCATCAGACTCTACACCGCGTTGTCGGCCGCACGGCTTCTGATCAGCAAATTCCAGTAAATCCTCGACGGAAACGTGGTCTTTACTTTCTGAAAGTGTACCTGAATTTGAGTTGTACATTAGATCAGAGAAAACAGGATAATTCATTGTCATTACTTGAACAATGTGCAGTAAAATCATTTTACATAGTATCTACTGACTATCGTGAGGAAAGGATGTCTCGGTAACAGAGCACCGACATGGTCCCTTTGACCTGCGTTTCAGGTCATGCCAGCGCTCTGTCGCCTTCTTTTTCGAAAAAAAGATTACAGATAAAGATATTTTCGGTGGTAGCAAAGGATCCATATTAGCAAGGTGTATATTTAAGCTGACACCCTAATACAGGGGTCTTATAAATTAGCTAGACTGAAAAAGTTGATGCTTTACAGAGGCATAACATGAGAAATGTTAAAAAAATAAGATGTTACCCTTAGCTAACTTAGTATGGGTCTCCTCCTCACTATCCGTGTCGCTTTCCACATTAAGTTCCAATTCTATATCGTCATCATCGTGATCGTTATCTAAGAATGTTCCAAATGGATTTGCATTGCTCGGACCAGGAGCACTTAAAAACGGGTTTGTATCCTTTGCAGTATCAACGACATCTTCTGACTTTGGTTGTACTTCGGAAGGTTTCACGGTGTCTTTTGAAGGTGATTTCGTGTTCTGATAAATGTTTATTGTCATTGTTGGGGGGACAGTCGGAGGCTGCTTCGGTTCGTCAACTAATTTTAGCGGATATTTGCGAACGTGCCTTGGTTTATCCACTAGCTTAGGCTTTGTCGTGCGTGGAGGAAGGGGTAATATGTTCTGTGTAAAGAAAAATTGACATTATAATTAATTCACACACTTTAAACAACCAATCGAAATCTTTTCATAATTTTCGAACTTACATATGTGTTCTCTACAACGGGCCGTTCAGCAACTATAGGGCTGCAAATAGGTGATCTGAAATAATTTAGTCACGTTAGTCCTTCGGTGTTCTTCATGATAAGTATTGGAATTTTTAATTTGTATAATCATTGTGGACCTATTGCACATACGAAATATTTGTGTTCAGGAAAGGTTTAAACTGTAAAAATGTTACAATGTTGTTGTGTGTTGTAACAAAGAAAAGAAGACAACATAACTTGTTCATTATAGAGATAATCAGTATCATGTATGTGTCACTAATAACCTTTTGATGTTACAATTTGATCCGATATCTTAAACTGATTAAATTATATAAAAGTATATATGTATATTTATATTCCAAGCTATAATGACTTGCTTTTCAAACAAAATTTACATTTGTAGATGTAGTGATAAACATTAAGTTACAATCATTATTGATTTTACTAAGCATCTGAAGATACAAATGCTTATTTTCCGTTCCAATAATATAAAAAACAGAGGAAGCCAATGTAAAGTTCTTGAAAATAACTAATTACCTTGTATTATGTGGAGAACCAACTGTTCTATTATTGTATTGCACCATAGCAGTGCGGGTTGGCTTCGGGATTGTCGCGGATTTGAGAATCCCTCCGGTCTCTTTAGCTATCTGAGTCATCAATGAAGTGGAAGGTGTAGGCTCTTCGATTAAGCTTGCGTACGCCAGCTTTGATTCTGCGGTGATGGTGGACTGCAAAATAATGTGGTTAAATATAAAATGTGAATACAACAAAATTAATTATCTCAATGATTGTTTAACAAGAAAATGCTAATAGCCTCGATGTTGAAGTGGTTGCAATTGTAGCAAGATGTTCTCGATTCCAAGGATAATATTAAGTTAATATTGAGGATTTGCTCTCTTAATTTCGAAAATCTCTTATCATAATCTGCTATTCAGAAAAGACCGAGACTATAGCAAAGGACTACGTAAATTATCAGATTACCTCTGCCTAGTCATTTTGTTATTAAGATTCGTGACTTGCTTATTTCTCAAAACGAAGTGTAAGTAGTAAAAAAATATTATATAAAAAATAGTTTACGCACCGCCAAGTCGGGAACGCTCTTGGCCTCGTCGCTAAAATTGCGACGAGGGCCGTATCCTATAAAAAAAAAAATATTTAGATTATTACATGTAAAGATAACCGGTAACCGTTTAGTTAGTGGAGTCTATTCAAAGAGCATGATCCAAAACAATTTTGATTAATTGTTTCATATATTTCAAGACGACGGACACGTCTTGTTTGTCTCGATGCAACATGCAACATCAAGTGTTGTCGATTGGAAACGTTTCTTTGTGAGGGAATGTCAGACTCTTACTGACTAAAAACCTCCCCTGATCCTTCCCTTGCTCCGGAGCCGGGGTACATCATTGCGCACCCACAACCCTGGTTACATATTAATAACTTGTTACTGAAATCAATATTTAAATAAAGGGGGCAACTTTTGTGCAGCATAATGCGAGGCATATTTCGTCACCACTAGTAGTTATAAAAAGTTGTTCGAATTAAAATACAATAAAACGGAGCTGTTTTGTATATGTACAGGGTCCCTGCTCAAATCGAAAAAAATTCGTGACCAATTAATTTTGTTTACATTAGTGATTTCCCATTGTGAATATTATGAGTTCATTTATTTTTAGAAAGTTTTCAAGCGTCAAAATGGCATTCATAAACGCTCCTATGAAAAAAAACCCACTGTTTGATAATAGCCCAAATTCTATGGACATATTATTAAAGACGATAGTTACAAATTTTAAACAAATCATTTGTATGCTTCAACTTAAACTTTCAAATACATAACAAACTCCGTGTTTTATGTTACCATGTCGCTTTGATTTCCCATTTCGGTATATTTTCTTTTTTCTATCAAACCACATCTTTACACTGTCAGTCATGTTTTCCTTAAACTAGTTACTTACCCCATTTCCTTGATGGAGAATACTGTAAGACCTAAAGTAGCCGCTATACCACATACAACAATTACTATAATGATAGTTTAATCTACTTGGGAGCATACTACACTCACATTAGGCGCTTAACAATACAACACCGCTAGCCATCAAACCAGGTCGACACAGAAATTATGACAAGTCATTCCTTTTTTAAATAACTAGAACACGTGAATTGTAATACTTAAGCAGAAAATGTCCTGCCTCTCGAGAAAAGGTTTGATTTACGTCATAGTAACTGTTCTTCGATATAGCAATATTGGTTTGATGGGTACAAAAAGCCTCAAAAATCTGTAAGGAGCATTTCAATGTGTGCCTAAAACAATACACTAATTAGAAACAGCGCAAAAACATAGTGTAACTATGTAAATACCTATGAATGTGGAAACAATAGGTTGATTATCCACATTCAGAGCTGACAGACAAAATCCATGCCTAATTACTACTACATAGGATTCAACTTCTCCAACACAAGATATACTAAAGTTTATTTTCTGACATAAGAAACATCTATTGATCGAAAAAAGGATCGGAACTAATCGTAAAAGAAAACATTTCTGAAACTCACCATGATCGAATTAAAATAACAGCAGCGGTAATAAATAAATATAGAAAAGTCGTTTATAGAATTTTGCAAAATAATTTAACGAGGTAATTTTGAAATTAATAACAATAATATTATAATATGCCGATTGTAGAAAGCTACGATGAGTATTTCGACGAAGAAATGTTATAAACACGAACAACTTTAGATCTAGATCCTTCAAGTCTTTCATACTTCTCTTCCAAACTACCGTTTGTATTTCGCCTGCACAAAATGTAAATTATAATTATAATACAAATACGATATTACGATATAATATTCAGTACCTTTAGTCGAAATACAGGAAATATTTATATAATCAAAGTGTATATACGTTACTATTTAAACCCCTACTACTTCTTTGAGGCATATGAGGCGTGCTCTTCTCTCGTAAAGATAAAATCAATAACGCTATAATCAAAATCTCTAAACTGGCTTATTGAATTGGTAAAAATTAAAAATGTATTGGAAAGTTGTTCATGTTGTATTGTCACTGAGTCGTTTCTTGGTACGATAGCAAAAGCCAACATCGATCATTTTCTACGGACACATTCATCTAATAGGAATGGTGAGCGAACATACATACTATGGCGAATATTATATATATGATGATCATAAGAATTTTGACTTCAACTCAGGAATAAATAAGTTTAAGATGTTAAGGGCAAGCATTAAGGTAGCCCGCGAAATTTTCTTGCGTTATTTAAGTACCAATATCAGCTGAGTAAGCGTACGAAAATTCAGATTTCGCGCTATACCTTAAGGCATCCATCTTAACCATTTTACCAGATCAATGACAAATAAACAATATGAGAATGTTCTGTTTCTTTAACAAATCGAAATATTCATTTCCTTGGAAAACTAAAAATATTATTGTATATGCCAATTCGAAATAATTATAATGCATTTCCGATGAAATGATTCAGCCAGCTCACGAGAAACGACAAAAAACAGACTTCTAAGTTTTTAACGACTTACCGCAGAATAAAGCTTTTACGCTGTCCTTTAACCTCTGGACTGCAAGTTATAAAGTAAGAAAAGGACATGATTATGATACCATAATATCTTTAAGTAGGCTTCTTTATAATATTTCCTATACTAGACTAAATAACAAACAAATTGGAAAAACAAAAACTAACTAACCAAAGTTTATCTTGCACAACTCCAAGTTTAAGAAAGACAGTGGTCTAATCACTAATTTTATAAAAAAAACTGTGTCCTGTCCTGAAGTAATACAAGTCAAATACAAAAGTGCCATCTCAAACGCTTGTGATACATTTCAGTGTACGTTTTTACATCATTTTAAAATTATATATAACTTAAGAACGAAGAATTCCATATTTTAAATCGCTAAAGTTTAAATGAAGAGAACAGAATAAATTATTTTGTATGTAACAAAAATTTCACACATTAACTGAGAACAGTGGGAAATGTAACAAATCGAAGTTGCAGCGGACCTCCAGTATAAAACATAATCAGTGTATCAATACCAGAGCAGAAGAAACTAAAATTAAATCATAAAACTAGCGAATTTTTGTTTGAACGCGATGTTAGCCGAAACTACTGGTGCGAACTGAATAATTATTTTTATCTTAGATAGTTCATACAAATATCGAGCAGGGCCACAGGCTTATAAAACAAGACGCTTCAACCAGTAGAAGCCGACAAGCTAATAAAACCGCGGGCGAGCAGCTAGTAAAGACATTAATCACCAGCTTTTTTTCGTTCACAGCTGGACTTAGACCTCTTCAATGGCACACAAATGAGGTCGATCTGCAACTCTCCACATCCAATCACTGCCAGCCCCTTTTGCAGACTAGGTGGAGTCACGGTAGACTCCACCTAGTTAATATTCACCGTATACCACGTTTCCTAGTTAATACAAACGTTGCCGATGGTGTACCCGTGGATATATTTTCCAAAGTTGCGACCAGCCCCCAAAAAAACGCGCAACAAAACCATTTTAGTGTCGTTGACTTAACTGCGATCCCCAAGCCACTTCCTAAATTAATTGATAACCACAATCTCTTGAGAGAAAGGTAAGATTTGTTTGATAACGACAGACAATCCATTGTCATGATACCGTGATTGTAGTTAGACAAGAATAATATAACATTTTATATATTTACCGGCTGAATGTTCTCTCTCGGGTTCATGTGTCTGGGTACTATGATGACCAGATCGTCCAAAGCGAAAATTGAATTTTCGCTCACTCGGTGACTGTGGGTGTCTGTCCTCCAAATCGTTCATTGACCTAATGGAAGGTTTGAGGAACTAAATCAGTTTAAAGTTAAAATGTATTATTAGACCACACACTTTCATGATATCCAGTCCAATTAGTGTTAGTAAAGCCAATATTATAAATATAGGAACATTTAGAGTACGTAATTATAATATATAATAGACGCACACAAATCACTTAAATAATATCCAGCCCAATTTAGTGTTAGTACTGTCAACGCCATAAATAATTCAGGGTACGAAATTATACAGACGCACACAAATCACCAAAATATCGGTACAACAAATCTATCATAAAGAATAGGTTCACTCGAATAGATATAAATATCGGTGTAGTTCAACAGTCAACGGTATCGAAGCATTGAGTCGAAAATATGGACCGCATTAGAAAAATAACTTAAGGACCATAGATTTTAAGTATTGCTACTTATCTGTATTGTAAGCAATAAGCAGTGCTCTGAAAATACTTATCAGTAAACCACAGGCTGCTTATGTCAAAAATGTAAAGTATTACGAAATATAATATTTTGTTATTGGTCTACTATTAATAAAATAATCGTCATTATAAAACAAACAAAACTAATAATGTCAATAAAGCAATAAAGTCAATAATATAACAAGAGTACTATATATTCCATCAAATTGTTTATAATAAACAAAAACAATGTAATACGTTACATAACCTACCGTTTATATAACTACTACTTTTAAAATGAAATCAAGTGTTACCAATTTAATATTTTTGAATGCTTCCCATTGATTGCTTTACCAAACCGATATTTTTACATAACATAACGTTCAGGATACTCTAATGTTACATAACATTAGAGTATCCTGAACGCCCCTTTATATTTGACTCTGACTCTATCGCAGATTATGTTATGTATCAAGCACTTTTTTCCAACAAGCCTTACACGAAACCTGCCCAAAATAAGTATAAAAATGATAAATACATATGTTTTATAAAACGACTAGCTGTATTCAGAGAGGGTTAGTAGGCCACCAAATAAAATGCACTTTAATAAGATTAACACCAGTCAACCAGGAAAATTAATAGCACCAACTCAAACCTTTAAGATTGCTCAAGCACATTAACGTTAATGACTTTGTAAAAGGCATTCATTTTTTATTTTTTATTTTTAATGAATGATACTGACTTCGATGTGATCTCATTGGCCAGCGCGATTGCTGTATTCAAATTTTTTTCGTCGTGAGCTGACATTGGCTTCATGGTTGTTGTAGAGAATCCTTTCTTTCGTTCGGCTTTAGTCAGTGTATGTAATCTGTCGAACAAAACATACTTCTTTATTTACCACTGCTCACATATAATAGACAAACTATTTTAATTGTGTATATGTATAATATTAAAACATGTATTAAATGTATTTACACTACTCTTACACAAAATCATTTAGGTTAATTAAAAATCAACAAATATTTTTATTACATTCCTCCAATTAAAAATACAGCACAGGTTGCAGTAGATTGAGTTGCCGGCCAGAGTGTGTACTGCGCTATCTATTGGCATATTTAGCCAACTTGTAGTGAGATTTAAAGTTGTTACAACCTAGGGTATACTATGACTACAAATAATATAAAACACAAAGGTAGTTCAGGTATTCCATAATTTTTGTACAATCAACTTCAAATATACAGGACATTCTGAGAACTCAAATACAAAGAAGCACCCACAACACAAAAATATCGGTACTAACAAGATCATCATATACATAAGATCACTCAAAGTTTCTTAAAAATCGGTACAGTCAAACAATCAATGGTATCCAAGCATATAAAATTAATAGGTTGTAGAACACGTCACTTGCAAATGTAAAACTGGCATGTTTTTTATATGATGAGACGGAATGAGCAGCGAGATTAGGTAAGCAATCAGCGCTGCCCATGGATCCGCAACGACAGAAGTTACGAGAGCATTGCTGGCCTTTAGGGCCTTTAAAATCTATGGTCCTAAAGTTCATTTTTCGAACGTGTTCCATATTTTTCATCACTTACAAGCTTCGATACCATTGACTGTTAAACTACACCGATATTTATAACTATTAGAGTGAACCTATTTACACGTTACCTTTGTTGAACCGATATTTTGGTGGTTTGTGTGCGGCTTAATAATTGAGTACCCTGAATGTCCCTATGTTTGACGTGGACTGTACAATTTTCTGTTCTGTGCTACAATCAGACGATATTTCTAACATCACATGATAAGTATCATTTACAATAGTGGCAAAATAGTTCTTATAGCACTGTCTATTAAAAAAATAACCCTGAACATTTGGTTAATATTGCTATACAGTTCACAATATAATAACTGTATTTAGTACATAGGGTTTATTTTATTAAAACCTTACAATTAAATCTATTTCATTTGAACAATAGTATGTTAATTTGAATTGTATTAATAACATAGGTAATAATAGAACTGAAATAATTTCTCATTCAAAGAATTACACTGGGCCATAAATTGAAATATTTATTAAATGTGAATAACATAGTCGATTTGGTCATATACATACGGAATGACATTTAATTAATGCAGTACAGTTTTAGCATATAAAAATAGCTTTCCGAAACCAAATTTTGTTCTAAACATTAATTACACGTGTCATAAATAATAACAACATATGGGTGAGAGTACTACAAATAAACAACAAGACCATTCAGGTTGAGGATAGGGAGGGGCTAACACCGGGCCAATGGGATAGAGGTGAAGGAAGGCATAAACTATGCCAAAAGGCACACCGAACTTATGGACATCCTGTAATCTTTAATATCGGAATAAAAAGCTATTGTTATAATAACGGAACGGAACGGATTTGAAATATAAATATGAAATGTTTAGATTGTTTTGTTATCCATAATATGCTAAGCTTTCCTATACTAAATTGAATGTCACTCCGTAGTAAATTTAATTTATCTATACTATAAAAAAGACAGTTTATCTATACTATAAAAAAGTTAAAAACATGCGAATTGAAAAAAGATTTAAGTAGTGATTTTTGATAGTCGTAGTTAGGTTAACAGGTACAAATATTAATACGTACGGTCTCGAACCAGCTAAAAGACGCTGATCGTCCCTGAGAGTAGCGCTGCATGCAATTAAATAATACGACAAAACCTTATTTGTAGGTAAACAAAAATTATGTATTAAAAAAAACAATAACTCTAATAACAGGCAAGAAACAAAACTTATTATGTACGTGGTTTACATACATGGCATCTTGTGAACTGGAGGTTTCCAGATGGACTATGTCAGAACTGTTTCAAACAAAATATACATCAGTATCTAAACACGTAGCTGAATAACATGTTATTGTATTTGTTTCTTTTATTACCTTGGTCGTTGTACTTCAGTCTCTGACAAAGATCTAGAACGTTTCTTTCGGGTACTGGCCAAAAAAAGATATTTAGATTATTATGAATGAAACAATTTGAAATTAGAACTATCACAACACCGAACTGTCCAATCAAAGCGCTAACAAATAAAGCGTCTATACATACATGGCAATCACGACAACGGTTGGAGGTGAAAAATATGTTCTTATTTGTATTTCAATGTGGTACAACATTTCTAAGAATTGCACTCGCATTAGTGAATTTCAAATAAGCGAGTGCATTTAAAATATGAATTTATATTTCAAAAACAAAAAACTAAAACCTTTGAGATTTTTATCCATTATATGTAAAGTTGACCACACCCAATAACATTATATGCACATCATTTTGTACGACCAACAACTGTTTATAATGATTAAGTTCAGGCAGCGAGACAGTCAACTTGCTTTTGTCAATTTTTTATTACATTTGTAACTGCTATAAAAGAAAAAAATCGAATGAAAATAAAATTTATAAGTATGTTGTTATGCTGACGCCTGTACCACTCAAATAGACACAAAGGTTAGAAATAATATACCAAAATGTCACTTACTTATAGAAAATCGCGAAAACATTTTCACCTTTCATGCTGGAATATGCCACAGGAGGATAGGGTAGTAGTTGTAGAAGTCAGTAGCTAACCAATAAATTTCACAATAGCGCAGAAACAGGAGACCGGGACTTCGCGGGTCTAAGCTCTAACTAATTCGTCAGCGAACATAAAAACATCTATTACTGCCGCCACGATCAAGTTACTCATATTCAACAAAATACACATTTATTTCAACATCGATAGCAATAAAAAGCTAAACGGTCCTTGAAAAAAAAAGTGTCAATACATCAAACTTATAATATAAATAATAAACACGGACAACGCCTTATCGTATTATTTCATTATACATTTATTAAGTATAAAAATAAATACACAAATAGCATTGCAATACTGATACAAAATACACATATCAAAAAATGTAGCAATTCTTTAAAAAATACGTTATTGGCAACAGTCATAATGCTAATAGAACAGAGCATTTATTGAAAAATTTATTTAATAATAATAATTTGATCAAGAAAAGTATGTGGCTATACTTTGCTTGATCATGCACATTCATTCAGTTGAAGTTACATACGGTATTTTATCTTCAGCGATTCTTTGGTATCTTCGAAAGCTATGCATGAAATTGAAATACACGAGTACTTTTAATCAGCTGATATGATAGTGATATCTATTGTTAAATACAGCCGCTCACAATACTTACGGGCGCATATAGTCTCTTATACCGGAGCTGCTTGCAATAAAGAATATAACTTAAGTTCAACTCTCTAACATAGATGCTGTTTCGTAGGCAATTTTGGAGGAATGTGGTCGTAAGTAGAGAAATCTTACCTGTTGAACTAGCGTTCATACAATTAAAAGATAGAAATTATAATAATTACCTCGTACTGGGCTCCGGTTGTCGAGACGATGCGCTCTGAAATTACGAGAAAAAAACATTACATGCCTTGCCTGTATTTAGATATCATTAGAATAAACCATTCCGTGCCAAAATCTTAAAATTATAATTATACATTCAATTACATTTAATCACACTTCAAATTAAGTAAAATCTATTGGGAATGATACAGATTAAATTATAAAGCCTAACTATTTACTATTGGTACTCGCTATCACGGTGGCCTGGAGGTTAAGGAGCTCACTTCTCATGCATGAGGGTGTGGCTTCAAAACCTGGCAAGTACCAATGTGAATTTATCTGAGTTATATGGACTTTCTATTATTATTTAGATACCACTGATATACGGTGAAGGTAAACATCGTGAGGAAACCTAAACTTATAATTTCTAATTATAAGTTTGAAATCACCAACCCGCAGTGAGCAAGTGTGGTGATTCAAATTCAATGCCCAAACCTTCTCCGAGTGAGAAGAGGCTGATGATGAACTTGCTATCAATGTATAATTTCCTTTAAATAAATCATTTTTATATTTGAATGCTGTAACTAAATTATTATTTTAGCAAGGTAAATCCTAAGTTTTCAATTTAAGATGTGTTTGGCTTCTTATCCTTATAAAAGAAATTAAGAGACGAAAGTAACATATAATTAAGTAAAACAATGTGTTTAGCAACTAATTACCAACATTGGTACTTATTAGTAATATGATATGCATGAAATATAAGAACACTGGCTAAGTACCTGCTGTGGTGACCTTCATATAAATTTCCAATAAAATTATGTGTATTATGTGAATTACTTATTCAAATATTATATAAATACATAGCAACTATTCAAACAGAGCTAAATATAGGCACTTGTTATTCTTTAAAAAAATAGATAAATAAATAACAATATTATTCGTTTTTATGCTTCTTATAAGTATTTTATATCATTTTATTTTATTGCTAAGAGCACTCTCGATTAAGTCATCAACATTTCCTTTCAGTGCGCTTTCATTTAAGATCCCCACACGAGTATATTTGCAGACTTTCGGTTACCCTTCTCCACTTATACCCATCACTTCGAAACGGCTCAACCAACAACGTCACATTTAATAAAAAAAAAAACTAAATTGAAACCGCTTTATCCGTTCAGGCTCCAGGATGCCACAGACAGACAGACACGTCAAACTTATAACACCCCTATTTTTCCGTGGGGTTCAGTCAGAAAATCAAAAACTGATTACATTAGCCAGTTATTAGTTTTATTATATCTTTTCAAAATATTGTCCATTCACGTCAATACACCACTGCATGCGATGAAACCACTAGGAAAAGCACTTTGCCCACTCCTTCGTCCTTAGGGGTCTCTTCAATGGCATCGCGATACGCAGCCACCGCTTCTTCAGCATTCATAAACCACGTTCCTTTAATTTTTGTATATTAATAAAAATTACAAGGCGCGGGCGCATGACCCAGTAATTCAACATTTGATGACGCCAAATAGTCGATCGTTCGCTTGGCGGTGTGCGACGAGGCGTTGTCGTGGTGAAGGAGAATCCTACTGCGAGGTCGTTTCTCTCGAACTTTTTCCAAGACAAGTAGCAAACAATTGGTAGTGTACCATTCTGCAGAAACCGTTTTTTTGATCCTCTAACACAATTGTTGCGAAATGACCTATCCTTCCAAAGAACGAGGCCACCATTTTTTCCCCCGCACTTTGAATCTTTCTTCTTGTTAGTTGGCAACTCCTCGAAAGGAAACACCCACTGAGCAGATTGTCTTTCGGTTTCAGGATCATAACAGTAAATCCAGATTTCGTCACCTGATAGTATGTCAAACACAGCATTTGAGTCACCTCCTTTAAATCTTTCAATCATTTTACGGCACCAATTCACACGATGGAGTTTTTGAGCCTCAGTCAAATTATGAGGTATCCAACGGGCGCAAAGCTTCCTGACCGCTAAATGTTCGTGAAGGATTTTGTGCACTTGACTCATACTGATGCCTAAGCTTGTCCGAATCTGCTGATAGTTCACTCTTTAAACTTTTGTCAGTCCCTATCATACGCCGCACAGCACAGATGTTATCTTCAGTCCTCGTTGTAGAAGGCCGTCCCTCAGGTAAATCATCAGTGAGATTAGTGCAACCACGTTTAAACTCATTAAACCAGTTGTAAACAGTCGCACGAGATGGGGCTTCATCGTGAAAGGCCAATCGTAGTCTAACATAACTTTCTTGTTGACTTAACTCATCGAAAGTCATAAAAATCATTGCACGAAAATTTTCTCGTGTTAAATTCTTGTTGACTTGACACAGAAAATTTTCAATTTGCCGCCAAATCGTAAAACATATGACAAATGAATTAAATATATACTCAGTAATATTGGCAGAGTTCTATTTTCAAATTATACATTTTTTTTATAAGTGGCCAGTTCTAAGAAAATACAATTTAACCCTCGTATAAGAAAACGAAGTAAAATAAAAAAATGCCTAATCTGCATTTAGAGTGGGCTTTATTATGAGGGTAGGTCGGCTTAATAAGGAGACGGATCACCAGTTGGCAACTAATCGACGTCACCAATGGCAACACCAACTCCGCTAGGGCGTTTCAGTATTAGGGGATTGCCAAATTTGGGGATTGAGAATGAGAGGAGATTAAGAATGGCTGACGTTCCGGCAACCTCGCATAAAAAAACTGCACTGCAAAAAACACAACTCAATCATTCCTTTAAGCCGTTTTGTTTTGTCAGGCGTTGTTATGACTTCGGTCGAGCCGGCCCAATCCTACCGAAGCATGGCTCTCCCATGGCGTAATGACTGAGATAATACATAGGTACAAATGTCACCATCCTAATCCAGCCTGAGGCTGTCGTATTAGACGACTAATGGACCACAACAATTTATTTTATTGTCTTCCTTCATCTCGACATGAACCGGAAATGGAAATCTTTCGATCTTCAATCATTATCAAGATTTTTTAGGAATCAGGGGCCAAAAGAGAAGTCTTATCGGAGTCACAAGTTGTCGACTTTGCAAGAAGGAGTACAGTATTTTCTTGAAGGTTTGAAGGTCGTATGAGTTCAAGAAATCAAGTTTCATTTGTTACTTCATATTAATATTTTGAATTTCTCATAAACACACCAAGACACTTCAATGTAAACTTTGATATGAAAGCTAACTATTTCACCTAACTACAAACTTTACCTAGAAATTCCACATTCTATTAATAAACCTTCTTGGATCTTGAAAGCATATATCTTAACAAATGTAAAGTTCTAAGCAAGTTTGGCTCCTGAAAGATATTTTATGCTATGCCAAACTCCACTCTAATCTCTATAATCATAATAGCTTGATGTAAAATACCACTACATACGAACTTAAAAGTAAGGTTTACCACAAAATATGTAATCTTATCCTCAGGCTTAGGTAATGCAATGGTATCTGAAAACTAGGTAAAAAAACTCAGTAATTTTGCTATGCCTGGTTATCACTATCTGACAGATTCGGTTAGGACTCCCATCTCAGTCCTCAAACTGCCGTTCCGATGAAAAATTATTTAAATATTTGGAAAATAGGGCGGCAAACGAGCATGCTAGTCACTTGATGGTGAGCCATCGACGCCACACATGAAGAGTGCAACACCAAAAAAGTTGCAAGCCAATTGTCGAACCTTTAGGTGTTAGAAATTTAAGGAATTAGGGATTTTGGATTAGCATTGTTTAATACCCGTTTACTGTGCTTGCGTTAACAAGTTAAATTTAAAATTTTAAAGTACCATTCCAACTAAAGCCAAATAGGTCTCAAAATGAAGCAGTCATTTTATTGGATTTTAATGATATATCCTAATACTGATCTGACTTTTATAACTAAAACGAATCCAAAACCTTACCTCTCAACTCCCACATATAAAAATTAAATGTCACTGACGTAATACCTAGATATTTGATGTAAAATTGCATGTTCTAAATTTGAAACCGCCCACAAACGGGCAATTAATAGTCGAGGTCACAGTTGGTCGTTGGAAATGTACGTCCACGTATTCCCTCATAAATTGAATTAAGGGACGTGGTCGGAAATGTTGAAGTACTTTCGAAAGTGCACGGTCGGCTGGAAATACGCGGGCATAATATGTAGATTTAATTTGACACTACAAATCCTTCATTAAGTTTTCCGGCTGTGAATTTTAATGAATACATTGCATTCCGCCCACATCCATACCGAGTAACCCACGTAACAGATTCTACAATGGCATGTAATTTACACAATAGTTTTCCAAGTAACAATGGAGTATATACGCCTACACAAACTGTTATTTTATAAGTGAAACAATAATATTGATTTTATTTAGAAAATATTTGCTGTACAAGCCTACATTATGGTTCATAAGTCTTCTAATTCGCAAAACATACTGCAACTTAGTGAATAGTATTTCATGTTAGCATCAGTTGATGTATACCCTAAAAGTACATGTATTCGAATATGTTGCAAGGCAGAATTTACGTGCAAGCGCGCAAATCCTGTACTCAGTGAGACGTTATGCCGTTTATCCAATAACGAGTGAGGTTCAGCGCATTTTGTCATAAAATAACAACGTACTACTACAGAAAAGGTACAATGTTAAAACAATTCTATTTTTTTTTTCTTTTGCTGCTTCAGTTTGACCAATGACTGCAGAAATATATAGATGTGGTACACCATTTATCATAAGTACATAAGTCCGCCTTACTAGGATTCTTCATTATGTCGACATTAAAGTTTAAATAAACAAGTTATAAAACGATTTAGAATCCACACAAAGTAGAAAACTACTTATGACGTCAATTTGTTCGCATTGCTATGGAATTGTTTTGCAAACAAAAATTTTATAGCGCACTTACCTACTTAAAGAATAAGACATACTTGAGAAAAAAACAACTTAAGAAAAATATAGCCTATTTTCTTATTTGTAAATTATGTATAAGATGTCTGAGGAGGTGAGCCGAAAATAGATAAAGAAAAACAAAGAGAATAACAATACACTTACCGACTCCTCTTTTTTACGGGTTTCAAGATTTTTGAACATGATGTCGAGTTCTTCCAATAGGCTTTGACTAAAATCAGTAGAATTTTTCTGGAAAAGATAAAATAATCATGAGATTCGCGTAGATACAAAATATTTCACCTCTATTACAATAAAATACAAATCCAGGATGTTCTTTCCTTAGTAAAATGGTCAGAAGAACAGATATAATTATATATACAGAACTACACAGGTAGATATTGAGAGAAGATCTACATTTTTAATTAGATTTTTACTTTTGCTCCAGTTATCCAAAGTGCTAAAACAAAACTTGTTTAATTTGACATCTGTACCAGTCGTCACAAAATCTTGCATTTAATTTATTACAGTGTGTATAATCTCTTCCCCCCCTCTCCCCCTCCCCCCCCCCCCTTCTCCCCCTCCTAATACTCGGATATCAGATCCTATAAACTTTGGATCTATCTTAATTGCAGCTTTATTCATCCAATAGGTCCATCTCTGGACACCCCGTAGCGTCAGTAGCTCGTAAACTACAACTAAAAACGCGGGAATTCTGAGTACTACAAGTAAAAGAAGAGGGTAGCAAAGGAAGCAGTACACCACTCTTAAAAAGCACAGATGAAATTTAAAAATGTACTAAACTTTCTTTCAAAGACAGTCTAGTTATTAAGACCTAATAATAAACGGAATAAAATAATACAATTATAAGTAAAAAAGATTTAAAACTAAATTTAATAAATAAGAAATCTAAAAATGTACTTACCAATATGTCAAGACTGTCAGGTCTCAACGCGAGGCGCTCTGACTTGGACAGCGACGCAGCAGTACCATCCTGTAACAAGAAGAGCGTACTCGGTAACTTCAAGTTGAAAAAAATCTAAAGTAATATTTAAACCAAACAGGCAACCATCACGGTGAGCGAGTGGAATGCTACTGAGAATAATGTTACAAAAATCCTACCCCCTCCCCCTCTGACGGTAAAAAGAATTATATGGATCTATATATAGTTTTTAATTTCCAATGTCTACGAACACGGCATAAAGAGAGTCTTAATAGGTCGTACAGGTCATTACATGTTTAAAGCTCCGCGCAAAAAAAAGGCCTAAATATCCTTAAGCATAAATAGAAACCATTTTTAAAATAAATAAACATGTATTGCAAATATAAAATGAAAACAGTTTTTACACATTAATATGAAAAATAGAATTAACAAAGCTAAACGAGGTCAACAGTTCCCCTTTCCACCGAGTGGTGCGCTTCGATCGCTTTTGGGCCACCCCCTCGCACAGAGTATATTTAGACAATTTTTGTGAGGTACTTCAGGAAATGAGGATACATATAATACATTGCCATATTCGGAACTCAATCAATTTTTTTGTATTTTCATTGCGAATTTTGTATTCGTACAATGATACAAAGCCCAACTCATGTTTGTAACCTAGAGTTTGAGGACAAGTTGTCAAAAGCACCTGATCTGAACGTGCTTGAGACTATACGTCTGCCTGAAGTACATACATTCAAATTAATAAGATAATTTAGCAATAATAAATTACTTAAATAATTTGACCTTCAGACAATCTCCAATGTAAATTCTAAAGAAATTAACTATTAATTTGGAAAAAGGCTACTAATAAAAAATATTGATCTAATACTTTGGAGGTACTATTGAATACTTACAACTTTCAATACCATTATTTTCCCCGTAAAAATATAATCCGATTAAATTTTTGTATAGGTATGAAAATTCTCAGTATTAGTATAAATTACTATGGTGGCGCTGTGGGGTGGGACGCGCCGTTCCTAACTTCTAACAAAATGGTTGATCGGACTTCTGACCTACACGTCATTCCCGTGAACCTTACTTTATGATGGAGGAGATCGAGTCGCTCACCATTAAGATATAATTGATCTTATAATTTACATTTATGATAAAATGTAATAATTAATGTAATTAGTTTACATTAGTGTACTCCAAGTGTTAAACAAGCAAAAATATGACATATAGTATTATTGGGAATTCAGAAAAGCAAAATTCGCACTTAAATGACAGTCTCGTCTTTTGTAGGTATAGAGAAGTGAAAAGTGGAAACCGTTTGACAACATTATTGTACCACAGTAATCGTACCACAATTACTGTTCCTAAAATAAACAAAAGGACTTTTTATGACATGAACAATCGCAACACCAGAAGAACTACTAATACGCTGCCAGTTTCAACTTCGTATTATCCTTCCGGCCACGATTTAATTCCCGTTATAATGTGTAAAAACTGTATTAATTAAAATCATTGGGGGACAGGATTTCTTAATTCGAAGTGTGCTAGCTAAGAATGCATAATATTAGCAAAACTATTCATATACTACAAGTTTCTGGTGTGCTACTGCCCGATGGTTGTTGTCAGGATTTTTGTATAGGTCTAATTGCAAAGAGAACTCTTATAGCGCGATGTAAAATCTTGCACGTGATTGGTTCTGTTGTTATTGTTGTGCAATAGATGTCACACAAGTTAGTTGATTGATAATGCTGTGCCTATCAAGAGACTGTTGGGCGCAAATGATCTTGCTGGCATCAAAAGCGAAATTCTTCAACGAAATATTGGTACGAAACAAAGAATCGTCATAGGCTGATTTCAAAGCGAAGGGGATTAAACTGTATGTAGGTACTCAACAAGACAAACTTTCAAAAATCGAAAATCCCGCTGCGCAAATATTTACTTTGAGCAAATTAAAAACAGCGATTTCCACAAAACGATACGTATCGAGAATTAACTGACTGCACGACTAGGTCCAATATTCGCAAACAAGAAAGAACAAGGGTTCGCGGATTCGATTAAATTATAGTGTTGGCAAAAGTATAATAAATAGGCTTATAAAAATATAAATAATTCTGAAAATTATGCCCTGATGTTATATGACGAAAGACTTGCTCTACGTGATACTTGTAAAATAATGTTTATGTTACACAGTTTAATATACGCACTTCTATGTACTTCTTTGGTCAACACACGACGTGATATTACTTCTAGCCGCAACATAGAAATATGATTATTTTTCATGTAAAATTTATGAAAAAGCATTTCAAAGTCTAGAATCCAATAAACGTTAGTCAGACCTGGAAATAGAAAGTAATAAACCCTGCTCGAAGAGGCGAAAGCAATCTGAGTTAGAAGGAAAACGTCAAAGAAAATATGCAGATTCTTGTAAATTTATATTGCTCTTTGCAACGTGATCAATCAATAGATTACAGTGGAGCTGGGGGACGGCCCGCTTCCACCTTTGGTACAACATTGCCCTTGTGACACGACGCTAAAAATAAACCGGAAAATCTAAACAAGCTAACGTTTCATCCGAGCGCGATAGGCATGCCTTTACATGCTCCACACGCTTGCACCGATAAAATATTTTATTGTAGTTACGGTACTACGTCATTCTGGGAATATTTTCAACCTCGCTGGTCGGCAAATATGAAGGTTGCAATTCTTTCTTACAATGTATTGTGTGCGAGTAACGCGTCGAATCACAATAATAGTAAATCCGATTTGAAAATGGAATAGTTCCATTGCATTTGAGACGCTCCGACACAACATAATCCGGGGGGATGGCAGCGCCTCCGTCAAATCGAGCGCGAAGCATATACTGTATTTCATCTGTTACTGAAACCATTTTGCCGCATTATCAGGCGTCTATTTGAAGCATCTGGATAGGATTAGATTTTTTATGCAATAGGTCGGCAAGCTAGCAGACCTGTTACCTGATGGAAAGCAAGTACGGAGGAGTTACGAGTGCGTTGCCGACCTTTTAGTGCTTAGGGTTTTGGAGATTTAGGGATTGGGGAGGGATCGGGGGAGAGGAAGGATTGGGCCTCCGATAACCTCACTCACACGACGAAACACAACGTTGTGGTTGTTTCACGCCGGTTTTTTGTGAGGCCGTGGTATCACTCCGGTCGAGCCGATCCATTCGTGCCGAAGCATGGCTCTCCCACAATTTTTTTTTATTTAATAATCTATTGATACAACATTAAATCCCAAGTTTTAAAGTGTGTTTCACTTAGTTCCGATGTAAAACAAACTTTTTCGATACTTTTAGTACTTAAGGAGCTGAAATTTGGTACGTAAAGTTTAAAGGGAAACTTATCAAACGAAGATCTGGAGTAACAAGTGACCCAAATGAGAAAACGCTAGAGTCCGCCAACTATTGGACGCACGGACAATGGATTGGAAAGCGACATACCTACATGTACTTCTAGTCTAATGTAATCAAATCGAGGCTCCATGTCTCAATTCTGGATAGAGGCCTTAACATCTGTTTTAATATTTTGATTAAAGCAGAAGGTTTTTATTTTACTTGACCCGAGGCCGGTAACATTTTGTTTACCGTCAATTTCTGTTAAATAATCGCGTTAAATGCCACCAAAAATAATCTGTTAATTGTATGTGGAGGTCGTTGAAAATTCTATGAGTACATGTTAATGGATAAAAGTTAACCACCAAGTTACATTATTTTCACAATAATAGTGAACGCGCAAAGAGAAACCTCAAGCTCGGCTCGACTAGATATTTAATTACTTTTTATCGATAAATCAAAAGCACCTGCGCAGCTTGACTGGTTAATTACAGATGTTTTTGATAAGATGCGGTATACTGCACAAAGGAGTAAGATGAGGAGCAGATTAGTTACCTTTTTTTGTTTTTTTATAAGTCGGCAAACGAGCAGACGCAGACGGATTACCTGATGGTAAGCAATCGGCGCCGCCGATGGACACCCGCAACACCAAATGAGTTACGAGTGCGTTGCCGGCCTTTTGGGGATAGGGGTTGCGGATAAAATGATCGGGAAGGGATAGGGGAAAGGGAGGGATTGGGCCTCCGGTAACCTCACTCACACGGCGAAACACAACGCTGGGTTGTTTCACGCCGGTATTCTGTATATCGGCCTATTGCCTACACGGGCAAAACCGAACTCCATTCTACTTCTGAACACGAGCAGTAAAATTAAATAGGTACTGAATCTCAACGTGGTATTTTCCTGAGACCTCTCAATTAAAGTAAAAGTCAACTAAGTTAAATAGCTAAAACGAATGCCGTAATTGAACCTAAGTGCGACTGTCGCACGAAGGGCTTTGACTACTTAGTCGGAACAAGTAAGCACTGTATACCACAACATAAAATTAATAGAGAATATAAAATGTTATGTCAGAAAAGACTGGCTTTTTCTGAATCGATTTTTATAGGCAAAAATCTTTTATTCAATTGCTACGCTACTTGGTCGAGCTGACCAAATATTTATAACTTTACCTCCGCTAAGGTTACGTTATAAAATGAGACTGTTTTAAATTTTAATCGATTACAATATTGCTTTTCCAACACCGATACTTTTAGTAGTTGCAGAAGTAGGCCTCCCATAATAGTTTTGAGTTCGAGTGTGATTGGAAAACCGAAGGTATATACGTTAAACTGCATGCTCCGTTCACAAGCCACGGAATTGACGTTATGCATGAATGACTGAGTCCTCAACTTTATTTCCTCGCTGTGGGAGACAGCCCCGTACCGGTAAAAGGTATCGATATTACACAGCTTATATTGAAATATCCCTCATACCAGAAATAATAGTTACGAATCCATTGAATAGTGTAATTAGGAACCTAACATTGTTGACGAATAAGTAAGCAACGAATTCATAACAAAATCTCAACTGTTCTGCGATATTCAAAGTCCTGTGCAACTTATTTTATTTTTTTATAAAGCTACGCCTGACCTCATCTCGTCACGATGCCGTCCTCGACCCTATTTATTATAAAACCAAACAGATATACAACGCGTCAATCAATATC